GTCACGTGTAAATAAAAATGCTGTTAGGGGGATGGCAACCTGCCCAGTTCCTGTGAGCTGCTGCCCTACTTTTCCTTCTCTGACGCCTACCACACATCTTCATGGTCTTGCAGCCTCCTTTCTCTCATTAACAGATCATACACGATTCGTTGCCTACACTTTGGAAAGCCTTGACAGTGTATTAAGAAGCCCGTGACCAGACACTTCACTCACATATAACACTGGTGCCTGTGGTTGCCACCCTCCTAGGAAGGGCAATCATGCACTTTCAACCAAGATCTGAATAGCAGACCTTTAGCAAGGGAGGCTTTTCAATCTGGTTTGTCTCCCATGTCAAGGAAAGCTCCTGCAAATTATTGGTTTGTCAGCTACTTGTTAAGGGTGCTTATATATACACTGGCACCCAGCCTGGTATCCCTTAACTTCTTAGGCAGGCCACCAACCCCTTCACAGAAGAAATACAACCTTAGGGGGAGAATTGTGTCTAGTGCACTGATTAATATTTTGTGGGGTATATCTCTTTTTTTAAAGCTGTATTGCTTTAATTTATTTAGTAAATGTGGTCACATTTTACATCCAGAGGTCTTTATCCAGACTTATACAAATACAAGCCTGTTGATTCCTGGCACATTTAACTCAGCAAAGTAGATCCCATCATTTCCAAGGTACATGCTGTACAATGCAAGTGGAAGAATTTGAAATATGAGAGCTACGTCAACAATGGCTTTGAGGAGGGGTGAATGTATGCCAGTGTTTTTCCCTTTACCTTCTTGGGTATTGGACTGCTGACAGGCTCTCCCACCCCTTCCCTACATGCCAGGAAAAGTGTTACTTGGTGTGCTGGGGCTGTTAAAAAACATGAATGTCCTGCTGGACAAAACACGACCACAGTCCTTCGCTATGGGCAAACAGCAAGCAGGTTAAAAAGACGGGGAGGCCAGCTTTTGCTGCTATGACAACTAAGCCTTTTCACTCCAGGACACCTGGCAGTTACGATAGCGCTGGATTTCTAAACAAACAAGTGCTTGGCCTCCAACTGTGCTCATAATCCCAGACATACGAGATTGGGCTGTGGTAATTTAGTGCTGAAGAAACCTGTACGTGGTCAAGTCCATTTTCTTACTATTTACTGGCATTTTCTAGTCTGAAGGACCGAAAAACACTAAAGCACTGAAAAACACTGAATTAACAGTTTTCTGTGGTTTTGCTCTGGTGCAGGGTGACCAATTGCAGAATAAACATTTTCCTTTGCATTTCATGCATTAATTAGTTGAACAGCCATTTCTTCTCCACAGGAGACCCTGAGAACTGTGGTCCTCTGAGGACCGGCAGACCCCTAATCAAACGACATTCCCTGGGATTATTGGGCGATGAAATGTGGGGAAGAGGACAGGGCATGTATTTTTCTTATTGAATGCCTTTCTACCCCACCTTTTTATCCACGGAGCTGAACCTTGTCCTCCCCTGCTCCTCATTTAATCCCCACACCAACCCTGTGTGGTAGGCTAGAAGAAGAAGAAGAGAAGAGTTTGGATTTGATATCCCGCCTTTCACTCCCTTTAAGGAGTCTCAAAGCGGCTAACATTCTCCTTTCCCTTCCTCCCCCACAACAAACACTCTGTGAGGTGAGTGGGGCTGAGAGACTTCAAAGAAGTGTGACTAGCCCAAGGTCACCCAGCAGCTGCATGTGGAGGAGCGGAGACGCGAACCCGGTTCCCCAGATTAGGAGTCTACCGCTCTTAACCACTACACCACACTGGCTAGGCTGAGAGGCGCTGACTGGCCCAAGGTCACCTAGCGAGCTTCATGGCTAAGTGGAGATTTGAACCCTGGCCCAACCCTGAGTCTAACCACTACACTACACCACACCACACTGGCTTATATATCTATAAACTCATGTTTGTAGAGCACATGCAGCTGCATAAAAGAGGGAATTTTACCTGGCAGGTGCCATTGGTCAGGCAGGGATGAGAAAAGCCACTCTTGCTGCAATGTCCCCATCTACACGTGGGAGCAGTCCTGTCATTAGGCAGTGAGAGATGGGCAGATGATGGTGTCTCTGGTCTTCCTTTCCTCCTCCATGGTCCTTGGCTGGAGAACAGAGTTGTGTGTGACAGGCAGCCTGCCTGCACGGTGCCCCCAAAGCTGGTGGTTCATAGTTGCTCCCCCTTTCACCTTTTTACTCTGGTGTTTGCCTCACTAAGGGTCCTTCCGGAGTCTTTTATTGTGCGTCCCTGATTATTTCTGCTCTCGTGAGGTATTGGGTGACTATTTCCAATCCTGCTTCCAATATTGTTTGTGCCTGCAAAAGTTTTGGCGTGGATATACTGCTCCCTTCCCACAGTGCATGGGCTGTGACTTCCTCCTGAAATCCTGCAGCTTTTTAGAACGCAAATCTTCCACTTTTAAAAAAAATCTTACTTTTGCTGTGCTACAGAGCAAAAGTGAAACGATGCAGTAACACTGAGGAAGCACCACAGAACAGCTAATAAAGTTGATGATGTATGGACAGTCCAGTATAAAATCCACAACCAATGACTATCAGGCAGTTACTTTAACTAATGCACTAATAATGTGTCAATGACATGTCGCAGAATACAGTCATAAAAAACCCCAGCCTTAGAATGTCGATATCATAGATACATATTTTATTCCTCTATTAAACACTTACTGTATATCCTTTTTCACATGGAGCTATATATGCCAGCAATTGTGGTACTGTTTTCATATCTCCAGGGAATCTGTTTACTCCATTGCATCCTGCAATGTTTCGAATCCTTTACTATGGCAGCATCTTATGCGTTATTTACAAAGTGGCACACAACTCAGTAGTTACGGTAATGCGCACTATTATTTTGAGGCGAGGCGGGCTTTAACCCGCTAAATACGGTAACGCTTTGACGCTTTCCGCATAGGAGGTGAGACGAAGAAAGCGATACGCTGAGTCACGCTTACCGTAATAAGCTAGATACAAGGACATGATTTTTCCCTCCGTTTGGGTATACAGTACTGTATTGTATTCCCTTGTGTTGACTAAATTGGACGGTGCAAACTTTAGGATTACTACCCGTAACTTTTGAGCACATAACAGAACTGCAGGCGGATCCTTATTGATCTTTTAAGATCATTGTGGCTCTCAGATGTTTTAAAAGTTTCAAAAATGTTTTGCACTGCTTGACGATAGGGCAATTTTGTAGTTGCACTTTGTTTCCTGAAGCGTTTCCCCTGGAAAGGCGGTTTATAAATGTATTAAATAAAGGCAAGAAATCCTTACTCAGCATCGAACGCGAACTTGCCTGCAACGCACCAGCTTCTGGGGCAATGGAACCAAGCCTCTTGCATATTGTTAAGCAGGGACAGATTGGCTTCTTCCCGTGACAAAGTGTGCCTGGAGGAGGCGTGGCTTAAAAAGAGAAACGCAGCTGAACATTAAAAACGGCCCTGCTGGGTCAGAGCAAAGTCCTTCTGGTTTTGCGTCCCGTCTCCTACAGCGACGGGCCAGATGTCTCCCGGAAGCCCACGGCCAAGGTACGAAGGCAAACGCCCTCGATTGCTGTTGCACGCTTCCAAGGGGTGCAATTTGCAGATACACTGCCCCTGAACACGGAGCTTTAAAAGGCCACCTTTTTTCTTCAAGGAAAATAAATCCCGGGGGGGGGGAGGATATTGATTTTAGGGCGGCAGCTCTGCCATATCTGCCTTTCCATACCAGTCCTCAGTATCCCACATCCACGGTCTTAATTTATTGCCGTGTCCTGGCACAGGATGCCGCTCGATCCTAACTTGTAGCCTTCCCAATAACACCTCCCCCCCGCCCCCGCCACCCCTGGGCCTTTCTTATCCCACCTCTGCAGCCCGCACCCTCCCTTTCTCCCAACAGCTTTGCAATCGCTTCTCCTCCAGGGACGGGAACCTCGGTTGGCACCTTCGCTGTGACTCACGCGTGTTCCCCGCACCTTCCTCGCTCACAGGAACGTGGAAGCGTGAGAGTGGGGCGAGGATGATGGGCTGATTGTGACGCACAGAGCAGGGGGATGGGTGGAGGGAGGCTCTCCGCAGTGGCGTGAGCTTCCCCAAAAACGGTGACCCGAAGACGAGTTCCCAGTTGGTACTTCTCTGTGTACGTGTGAATGCCACAGCCCGTGATTAGAGAGAGGACAGTGTCCCATCCTGCTGCTTGAATATTTCTCCACGCACAGAAAATAGTGGGGGAGATAATGTTGCCCTCCTCTTATTTCCTGGAATGGGGCCTTTTTGGACTTCCTGATAAGGCTCCCCCTTATCAGTAGTCTTGCCTAATCTTGAGGTTAATTTTGTAACACTGAAGTTTCCAAGGCAGCTGGAGGAGGTGGTTTAACCTCCACGGTTTGCAGCGGAGGGAGCAGAATCTACCCCGGAAGCGGAGGCGGGAAGGGAAAATCCGTGGGTTTTCAGTCCCTCCTCCTCCTCCTCTCCTCCCCCTTCGCGAGCCCCGGCTTGTGTCACTGGCTCTGACGACAGCATCCTCCCCCGCATCCCGTCGCCATGACAACCTTTTGTTACCTCCAACGCTTGAGTGGTCCAGGAGGGGAGGGGGCTGGCAAGGGTGGTACAGTATATAGGCAATGCTGGGGGGGAGCCAGGGAAGGAAACTCCTGATCCCCACCCAGAAGGAAAGAGGCCCTGGGAGAGAAGAAGCAAGGCCGGAGAAAAAAAATCTATATAGAGATATATAGTATTTATTAAAATAGATTATAGATACACCTGTAAAGGGAGATCTGTTTGGAAGCAGAGAAGAAGGGGATTACGAGATCGATCGGAAACAGAGACATTCAGACGTCTTCTCGCCTGTTAGCCTCCTTCCTCAAAACCATTTAGGTGGGCCAGAGAGGGTTTCTTTCGTGGGGAGAGTTTTTGAGAGCTGTTCTCAGAGCTTCCATTGAAAGACAGCACTGCCTGGTAATTAAAAAAACCATACATTTCCTTTTTCAAAGTTTGGGGTTGTTTGGAGTAGAGGGGACAACTGATTGTGGTGTTGCTATTTGTGCAGAAGGGTCATGATTTCTGAAGTTGAGGGGGAGGGAAGGTTGAATGGCAGCTGGGGATGTTCTTAGATGTGTGTTTATTTGAATAGCGGGAGCGGTTGGGGAGTTTGAGGCAAATAATTTGGGGTACTGAGAGGAGGAGCACATGGGATCAGCTTTGGTGGTGACATGGGAGCAAGATAAATGTAAGATTTAAAGCGAGTCGAGCCACAATAACTACCACACCCTTATCGAGAGGCATGACTCCACACACACAAGCACAGGGTGGCTGTGCTGTGCTCTCCAGTATGATTCTGAAGGATGGGCTGGACTGAGGACGAACATTTGCAGGGAGTGGTATTGACATAATCAGTGTTAGATGCTGCAACGCTTAATTCCAAAATCAATATTAGGTACCTTTATTGGGCCAGCAAAAGACAATGATCACAAAATAGGTGCTAGCATTCAAATTTTCCAGAACTCTTAATCAGTTTAGGTATTAAACAATACCGGGGTGGAGGTTTGCTAGTGGTAAAGCCATCCATGTCTGCTTGTGTTAGCTAAAAGAGTTAAAACACTGGGCTAAGGGATTAGATACACACAAGGAAATTGTGCATTTTATGGGGTGCAGAGCCAGAGGTTAAGGGCCCAGGGGTGTGGGTTTATTGGTTGCAGGCAATAGGGAGAGGGGGCTAGAGGTTTATGCATTTTGAGGTTTGAAAGGAATGTGATTCAATATCACAGTCATGTCTAAAAACAAAGGAGGTTGAGAATGAGAGATTTTTAGGTGAGTGGACCTCATAGGATGAAGAGATAAAATAGATGGAGACTGTCATCCAAAGTGAGGCTCCCTCAAGAGCTGTTCAGACTGGACTCGTGTTACATCTAAACTGGGAGCAAAGCTGGTTGCGGGGGGAACTCACAAGTTGAGTGAAGAGGAAGCAGGCATAGAACACATTCTGCTTGTTAATTCAAAAGACGGCCTTACCATTTCCCCTCAGCATTAACACACAAACACACGACCTGCTACCTAAGAAGATGGAAGCATGGGGGGAGGGGGGAGCCTTTCAAAATCCAGGATTTCTCTTGATTTTGATCTTGAAGATCAGTTTAAAGCACGAGTTCCAACTGATCTGTGTTAAAAGATCTTGAGTATATGCCCTCCCTGGACCCATATCCTCATCTAGTTTTCAATGGTAGAGGCATCTGAAAGCACCCCACAAGAACGGTTGAATGAACTCTACTTCAGTTAGGAAGTGAAATAGAATGAGAACCTCTCTGTGTGAGTTAAAGTAAATTGGAGTGGCAAGTTATAATTGTGCTTGGTGGCATATCTGAACTGACTATGTGTTGAGCCCGATTAATAGGAAAATGGGTGTATTTTTGAATTCCCCAGCAAGACCCAGCATTATTCTCCAGGATGTAGCGTTCCAAATGGACCCACTACAATCCTTGCAGAATGCATCAATGAAGCATTTTGTATACTCACAGCCTAGTAGACCCCGTGATGTCAAATATGTGTTGCCCTGACATCTCAAATTTCAGGACAAACCAGAAATATCTAGTTAGGACCACAATGCCCTGCTATTTTTTAATTTTTTTATTTACTGAGGGAGTGGTCTTTTAGTTGGATCTTAGCTGTAGTTACTGTAGAGGTGAGATGGGGACAGATTGTTGAATGAGAGGATGAACATTGAGGGGAGAAGCAAAAACTGTGGGGGATTATTACAAACATGCCCCACCTCCTATACAGGAGGAGGGAACCTCTGATGCAAAACTGTCACCCTCCCTTTGCACCAATAATCATTGAGTATGACTCACGCTTTGAGCCCATGGCTGTGATGGCAAAGAGGGTGGGGTGCAGATAGCCAATTAGGAATGGGCATGGGTTAGGCAGGGTGGGTTGAATGGGGAGGGGCTGGTAAAGAGTCCGCTGGCCCTTTAAGAAGCTGTCCACTCCTACTCCCTATTCCTCCATTTTCCCACCATCGTCGCATCATTCCTGCAGCATCACAGTTTCTAGCTCCTTCCCTTTCTCCCTCCCCACAACCTAACCCTGAGATGAGAACAGCAGCTGCTACGGAATGACCAAGGTAGGTAGGCTATTGGGAGACCTTTGGCTTTGCATGGAAGCAGAACTCTTTGATCTCGCTCCCTCCACATCCCCATCTTTGCATCCCGTTCACTCCCTTTGCTCCCCTTATCACCTCACTTTGCTCTGTCTGCTCATTCACCCACCTTTCTCTCCTGTTTCACAGCGCCACAAATAACCTATCCATCTCTTCCACCTGCTTAAAAAAATTGCAAGTTCATTTCCCACCTCTGTCTCACCCCACGCCTCCCCAAATCCCATGCTTGTTCCTGTATTTGTTAGAATAGGGGGGGGGTAGCAGAAAAGGAGGAGGCATAGGGCATAGGGACTTTTGCTCTCTGGGAGCGTGCCAAACTCTCAGTAGCAGCTGCTCAAGTGAAAGTTTGGAATCATGCATCTTTTAGCTCTTTAGTTTGTTTGTTTAAGTGCACCAGTCCTTTGAACTTTATCACCTCTTTCTTCCCCCCTAGCTGTTATGTACGCTGAACCATCCGCCATGAATTTCCGGAACCACGGCTTCTTCCGCCGTTCTCCGCCTCCTTCTGTGGCCAAGCCTGCCCCTGCCGCTGGCAACACTCTGTCCGTCTTAGGAGGCATCGCTCAGATCTCCCCTTGCCTCTACCTCTCCTCTGGCAATGCTGCGTCCAACAGGCACATGGTCTACTCCAGGGCAGTGACTTGCGTCGTGAACGCCACCATGGAAATCCCCAACGCCAACTGGCCAGATATTGACTACGTCAAGGTGCCTGTCCCCGACCTCCCTCACGCTCCGCTGTCCTTGTACTTTGACTCTGTGGCCGACAGGATACACCAGACGGGGAAGAAGAACGGAAGAACCCTTGTCCATTGCGTGGCAGGGGTCAGTAGATCTGCCTCCCTCTGCATCGCCTACTTGATGAAATACCACCGGTTGAGTCTCTTGGATGCCCACGAGTGGGTGAAGAGCAGGCGACCCGTCGTAAGGCCCAATGTCGGCTTCTGGAGACAACTCATTGAGTACGAACGCAAGCTGTTTGGCAAGAACACCGTCAAGATGGTGCCCTCACCCATTGGCTTGGTCCCAGATATCTACGAGAAAGAGACCCGGGGGCTGGTCCCCCTGTGGAACTTAAGATAGACGCTGGGCAACTTTGGGAATGTGGTTGGGTGACGTGGGCTGCTTGAATTTAGGATCAAAACGTTCCACCATGTTCGGACCACTCCTAAGAACTTCCGGCATGGTGGACTTTGGTAAGAAAATGCTGTTACGGTAGTCTTTTTTTGTGAGACCTTGCAATATGATTAGATCATGAAAAAGACCTTGAGTTGCTTGGCCATTTCAGTGTGATTGACTGGTTCCGCCATGTCAAATGTTACTAAGAACTTATATAGTTTTGCTTGTATTAAGAGAAGATGGTTAATAGCAGAATATAGGCAGTAAATATATTTATCTAAAGCAGAGCTTCGAGATCTGAATAAATTGACCCTCCCTTTGTGAGGAGGAAAGGGAGAAAAATAACTTATTGAAGACAGCTTCAGAATTACTTCCCGGCAGTAGGGCCTGGGTTTACTTTGGTTTTAACAAACACAATAAACTTCCCCCCCAGAGAGTGAAATCTTAGCAGTAATGACAGGAATTAATGTTAAACATTGCTCCCAAGGCACACATTGTTTAAGGACTGCTTTGCCAATAGAAGGCAGAAGTGAAGAAGCTGAAGAAGATTGAACTACCAAGGGCAGCTGGTACATTTCAGCTCCAGAAAGCAGAGGAGTTTTCAGTACAATAATTTTCACTGTGCAGGCTACAACCCAGCAGCCCATGGGTATAATGAATACTGCTGTTTCAGTATAAAACTGTTCCAAACCAGGAAAATCCACTCGTGTGGGGAACAGAGGATTAATGCTCATATTACCGCAGTACAGGGCTAACTGTGGAGGGCAAAAAGCACAAAGAAAGGTAAATTGTCCAGTGGGGAGGGGACAAAGTAAAAAAAACTATATCTATTTCTGACACTGGGGAATTACCGTTCAGCATTAAAAGCCTGTTACCTCGCTTCCTCAGGAATAATGAACAATATGGTTGGGCTCTGGCATTGTGTGGGGAAGGGCAAACCATTTTCTAATCACAAGTTGAGAGCAACGTTTTCTGGACAAAAAATCCCTCTCAGTAGAATGTGTGCATGTGTTTTTAAAAGCTTTTAATGCCACAGAGAGGACAAAATGAAAGGATAACAATAGTTATGGGGTAAATTTAACATCTGAGGAGATGGATCCGCAGTTAAGTATGCTAGTGAAGGGGAACTGGGTTCTATTTGAAGATTTTCTGACTATACCAGAGAGTGAAAAGTGGAGGTGAATCCAGAGTCAAGTGTGTGTTCAGTTAAAATTCAGCCGTTTTATTTCAAATTAATTTGAATATTTGAAAGTCAAGGGAACAGTTTGGGATGTTCAAGGCCTAGCTGAACAATAAGGAGCTGTGAGGTAGCGGGGAGTAAAATATTCCAAATGGAATAGGTTTTAGAAGTTACATAGGGTGTTCTGCCATATAAATTAGCTTTGGAGGTACAGGTTTCCAAGTGCTTTAAAGAAATTATTGGAAAGCACAAATTTTGTCATTTTAAATCTTCACCAAATAAGGATGTTCCAGATAGAGAGACCCCTTTAAAGAAGTTTCCTTAGCAAAGTTATTGCCCTGTTGGATGGATGGGCTTAACACTCAGCAACCCCTTGGTTGTTGTTTCGTTTCTATTAGTACTGGTTTTTATTATAGTATTGTAAAAGGTGTGGTTAACTAGGACTTCCACAGCAGTGCTTTTCTCTCCAGAACAAGGAACTTATTTCACCCTCACTTTTGGAAGCTTTAGCCTGCACTGACTTTTCAGAGCGATTTCCCCCAGAACCTTGCCTGTCAGTCAAGCCTGGCTAGAAAGTTCTAGAAGCTCATAGCTAAAGTAGGCCTGTGTGGTACCTGAGAAAAGGATCCCTTACTGGCTGAATATTTCAAGGCTAATTTATAAAGTGTGTGTGTGTGGAGGTGGGGGTTTTGAATTCCTGTTCACACTGCAAAATTTCTACTACATTCAAAATGTCTTGAAGCATAGATAAGCAACTGGCAACTCAGGACCCTCTCTCATATTTGAAGGTGGACGACTGCCCCACACATACCATACTCACCATGAATAAATTGAAGTGGACAATGTATTCAGTGTCAACATTGTCATCTATTATAGACAGTGTTAATGAAAATGTAGAAGTGTTAATTCTTTTGGTTAAGGAATTCTAAACATATACATGACATATTAGGTTTTCTTTTGTAGACTAACGCTAGTACAGTGGTTCCTTATGTCAAACCTCTTAGCAGCTGAACATTCATCTATTGAAAAGACTGAGGGAAAACTACGTTGCTTTTGAGCAAAACTCAAACACCCCTCACTCTGTATGTTTTCAAGTATAGGTGTCAAAGCCCAAAGGTTTGGGCTATTTAAAGAGGAAGGATTTTGAGCTGAAAGTGACATCTGGAAAGATAACTTTTTACCCATACAACTACATATTCCTGCTTCAAAATTAGACACTGAACCCCCAAGTTAGAGAAGAGCATTTAAATCTCCCCAAAGGCCTGGCATCTTAATAGGTGAATTAACACAAAAGAAAGAGTCCTATCTTCTAAGACTGAACACAGGACTGGTCAATGTAGAGACATCTAGCGTGTACTGTCCTCCGAAAGTATCTCTGAATTGGGCTCAGAAACAGAACTACTGCTGTCTGAGGAGGAAATTGTTACAGAGGATGGAGCATAAGCTGGTCTTCCTTTCAAGTGGTGAATATGTACATAAAACCTCTGCAGTTCTGTATACTTTGTAAATACTAGAGGATTAAAAGAAAAAAATATCTATATTAATTAAAGTTAGGGTTTCTTATTGCTTCAGTTCAATGACAAAAGATCTTAATAAATATAAAAATGTAAATGAGCTGCTCCCTGCAGTGTTATTGCCTATTGGTTTTAGAGTTTCATAAAATGGTGTTTTGTTTTGTTTTTGCATTCATGTGAGGGAGTGGGACCACACAGCTCCATAATAGAGTGTAAGTTTCGTATACATAAGAGCCTAGTTTTAATCCTTGGCTAGTTAAAAGGATCTGCTGATGGGAAATAATCCTCCCTAAGACCCAGAAGAGCCAGTGCACAACCCTGGGCCAAAATGCATCAACTTTCTGCCCTGCTATAAAGCTGGTTCCTAGGAGGCACAAACAAGGGAACAGAGAGGGGATTTTGATAGGCTTCCTTTCAAAATAATCCAAACTGGACTGAATGATGAATGATTCACTTTGTGTAAGGCACCAAAAGATGCTGTCCCAGGAAACCCCAATCTTGCAGAGTATTTCATCAGCACATGCCACACCCATATACTTTATTAAAGGTAAAGGTACCCCTGCCCGTACGGGCCAGGGTTGTGCGCCCATCTCACTCTATAGGCCGGGGGCCAGCGCTGTCCGGAGACACTTCTGGGTCACGTGGCCAGCGTGACAAAGCTGCATCTGGCAAGCCAGCGCAGCACACGGAACGCCGTTTACCTTCCCGCTATAAAGTGGTCCCTATTTATCTACTTGCACCCGGGGGTGCTTTCGAACTGCTAGGTTGGCAGGCGCTGGGACCGAGCAACGGAAGCGCACCCCGCCGCGGGGATTCGAACCGCCAACCTTTCGATCGGCAAGCCCTAGGCGCTGAGGCTTTTACCCACAGCGCCACCCGCGTCCCTAGGATATACTTTATTAGGACCTTGCTATTTTTTAAGTTTTTGTAGCTATTGCAAAAAACTCTCCACTGCCATTTTTTGTATGCATTCAAAGATCGGTACAAAGCATGTTGCTGTGACAAGGATGAGAAGTCTGGGCAAGTGAGGCAACGTTAAAGGATCTAGAGCAACTTCCCTGTGGCGGATTCCTAGACTGTAGAGGTGTGAATATTGGTGTGAATAAGCCAAGTCTGTGGCCAAATGGGTGAGGTCACTGCAGCCCACAGCACCCGCACTCCCCAGCAGTGTGGGATGATGTCACAGGGGGAAGAGCCATGCAGCCACAGAAGCTCCATTCCCAATATTCTAGAGCAGGGGTAGGCAACCTAAGGCCCGTGGGCCGGATGCGGCCCAATTGCATTCTCAATCCGGCCCACGGATGGTCTGGGAATCAGCGTGTTTTTACATGAGTAGAACGTGTGCTTTTATTTAAAACGCATTTCTGGGTTATTTGTGGGGCATAGGAATTTGTTCATTCCCCCCAATATAGTCCAGCCCACCACACGGTCTGAGGGACAGTGGACCGGCCCATGGCTGAGAAAGGTTGCTGACCCCTGTGCCAGAGCCTCTGGTTCTACGAGATCTAGAAATTTGCCCTTTTAGAAAAAGCTGCAATAATTTAGACGCTTTGACGGATCCAGCTTCTGCACCAGTTGTTGGATTATGGTGAATTACTCAGCCTATACGTTCATGGAAAGAGCAATCGGGAGGGTGTACAGAGTCTCACTTAGAAAGTCCAACATTTATTAACAAATATAAAACATTTTAGCTGTAAAATTTCCAGAACAACATCCATAATCAAATGTGGTCCACGTTGCAAAGCAACATGTGTCCTCCAACCAAGTGAATCAATTTCGTTCTCATTTAGGAGGCGCCCAGAGCGAAGAGAAATGCCACAAAATATGAAAAGATGTACCAGACCATACGGGAAATGAAGCTCCACATCCCCTCCTTTGCAATATACTCTTGCATGTGTTCTTGTTTAGGATTCTTATTTACTCTTGGAAAGAAGGGTCATAGGGGAAGGTGGCCATACCTCAACTATAATACAGCTGTTTGAAGGAACTGGTGCTGTCTCTTTCTACCCATCTCCCTTAGGAGTACATATTTTGGGAAGGGATGAACCTTTGCCCTCAGCAGAGACATTTGTGTCCCACCTTTCATGCTGGTGATGGGGAAACGGCAACAAAAATATTAACATTATCTTTGTTTTGCCATGCATGTCGAGTGGGGTAAAATGGGCCAAAAACATCATGAAGCCCTCTCTTGGTTGTCAGGGTCAGACCAAGTTGCGTTTTCCTTCAAAATTAGGGCAACAAGCAACCCACGAATGCCTACGCTTCCCTCCAGCCCTGGAGTCAATTGCTTTCCCCATCTGAACTGATGACACCTTTAAGGTGGGACCAGTCCCTAATAGGACTGTGGACGGGTGAATCCTCTGGGGAGCTGAGCTGCTTAGGCTTGCTGTAGAGACTCCAGACGTTTCTGACGCCTTGGGCGGCCTGTGTGAATAAAAGGGCAGAGAGAGACAGAAAAGAGTTTCACATGACGAGGCAACAGCTGCAGCTCTAAGGACACCTGTAGGGCTCCATGGACCAAGCCCACTTGTTCTGTGCTCACAACCACAAGATGTGAAGCACATGCCTTCAAGCAAAACCCCCTCTTGGCTTCTCCCCTCTTACAGCATTCACTCGCATCTAAAAGACACCCTAGAAGTCTACCATCATTTTTCTTACACCTGTGCCCTTCTTCCTCCCCGCCCCCGCATGCATGCAAAAGAAAAAGAAAAAAGAAACTGGAATATCTGTAGTATTTACTTGGTCACCAAAAGGAACGGTTGCCGTGCATCCCTTGGTCAGAAATAAGACGCAAAAACATATCACAAGCCCCACGTCTGATTTCCAGTTTTCCCACCAGACGATGCGCGATATTAAATGTTATTAAATGTTAATCACACAGTGGGAGCGCTGAAATCAAATGGGCTTTAGTATCTTAAATCCACGGATGTCAGTGGGCCTGCTCTCAGTGTGACTTAACAGGATATCACCCTGTTATCAGGAAGTTAAAGTTTCCAGGTTTCTTCCTATCTACCACTAGCCATGCCCCTTCTCTTTGGCTCCTCCCACCTTTACCTTGTGTGGCGATGATGTTGCAGAGATCGAGCGAAGCAATTTCGGCGGCCACTTCCCGCTTCTTCTTCAAGGCCTTGCACTTGGCCAGAGATGGTGCCCCTGAGAAAAGGGGAGGGAAAACACAGGCCAAGAAGTGAGACACATGGGCAAGCGTCCCCCTGTGCTCAAAAGGATAAGACTCAAAAATAGCCACACTCTGAAAAAGGTGTTGCTGTAATTTCCCTGAGGTACGGTGCCTTTAAAAGAGCCTGATGGGTACAAATTCAAACAGGGGCAGCTTTTCATTCATGTGGGGATGTAGTAGTGAAGGAAAGCAAGTTCTCTTCAAGTCTCACAAACCAAAGAAACCTTGATGGATGGGAGAAACTAGAGAAGGGCTTTAGCGCAGTGACAGAACATATGCTCTGCATGCAGAAGGTCCACGCTTCAACCCTTGGCATCGCCAGTTAGGGCTGGAAAAGTCCCCTGCCTAAAGTGCGGGAGAGTCACTGGCAGCCAATGCTGAGCCAGAAGGAACAGTCATCCAACACATTAAAAGACAGCTTCATCTGATGGATTTCTGGATCATGCAAAGAATCTGGTTTTTGAGGCTGTAAAAAATAGTCTCTGGAGACACCTGTTTAAATTTCTGACCCAGAGGACCCCCAAGTAGGAATTACAGTAGTGAAGGCGGTGTATGTGGCCACGGGACTCCCAACAGCTCTTTCCATAATCGCACAAGATCAACCATTGACTTTGAAAATGGGCTGCGCGTGCGTAACTCCTACAGGCTGGTAGCAGCACCCACAACTTCCTTGGTCTGAACGTGGGGTTTGGAAGCAAGCACACACAGTGCTGCTGACCCCTAGTTCCTGGATCCAGCCTCCCTCCCTCTCTCCTCCCCTTGAAAACAGGCTTTCCCTGCCCTTCCCAGTTTCTGCCTAAAGTATCCAACTTGCACCTACCCTTCAGGCCGAGGTTTTCCAGCTCCTCTTTGAGCACCTTCAGCTGAGCTTTGCGGGAGTGGCAACCGCTAAGCAGCTTCTTGTAATTCCGATGGGCCCCGCACTCCCGGATGTAGCGTTTCAGGCGTCGGATTGAAGAGTGCTCCTCATTCTTCCTGGAGTGATGCTCTTTGTCCTGCAGCAGGTGGGGAACAGGGAAGAGATCGCAAAACCTGACAGGGGGTCCATAAAAACGCTGCATTTTCAAAAGGCAGCTGTTCCTTTAAAATAACCACGCTGTGCCTTATTGCAAGGGAGGGGAAACTTTTCCAGCCACATTCCCTTTTGGGTGCCGCATGCTTGTGGAAGGGCCTTAGCTTTTTGTGCAAAGGTCCCCAGGCTCAATCCCCAGCCTCTTCACACAGGGCTGGGAAAGATGCTGCTGCCAGTCAATGTAGACAACAATGAGATAGATGGGCCAATGGTCTGAGATTCTGTTCCTATGGTCTTAAGTGAAATGCCTGGGAAGGATGTGTATCCTGAAAGGCAGGATGCATAGTTAAAGTAAAGGTAAAGGTAAAGGTACCCCTGCCCGTACGGGCCAGTTGTGACCGACTCTGGGGTTGCGTGCTCATCTCGCTTAAGAGGCCGGGAGCCAGCGCTGTCCGAAGACACTTCCGGGTCACGTGGCCAGCGTGACGAAGCTGCTCTGGCGAGCCAGCACCAGCACAGCGCACGGAAATGCCGTTTACCTTCCCACTATAAAGCGGTACCTATTTATCTACTTGCACTTAGGGGTGCTTTCGAACTGCTAGGTGGGCAGGAGCTGGGACCGAACGACGGGAGCTCACCCCGCCGCGGGGATTCGAACCGCCGACCATGCGATCGGCAAGTCCTAGGCGCTGAGGTTTTACCCACAGCGCCACCCGCGTCCCTTGCATACTTAAAAGACACACACAAATTTGATTTTCGATACAGAAGCAAAAGAGTAAAGGCGGGCACCTTGCTTAGACTGAGGGCCCCCACTGGCCATTAATCCCAAAACTCTGTGCTCCCTGTGTGCCTGACATTCGCACAATGATTCAAGTTACTTTCGAGAGCAAAAGCTCGTGCCAGACTACACTCCATGGCCAGGCTGAATATACACTGACCAGCACATTATGGTGCTAGAACTGCCACCCAGAACACAAAAGACTTGAGTAAATATCAATCTTGGGAATATCTTAACATGCTTGGGGGGAGGGAGGGAGAGGACAAACTGTGCCCACAATTGTACTGAGCTATAAATGTTTGGCATTGCCAAGCAAGGATCTCCTTACCTTTCCTTTGCGTTTGGAAGAACGGGGGTCATCTTCATCTCCTGAGCTTGAACTCGCTTCCCTCCTCCTTTGGGGCTTCTGCATCCCAGTCTTCTGCAGGCCTTTTTCCCTTCCCACCAATTCACTTCCACTGTCCTCTGAATCCGTCTCCAGATCTTTTTCAGCGATGGTATGCTTTCCCTGGGACTTCTCTCCTTTCTTTCTCAGCGACTCTTCCTCTGAGCTATATTCACTCCCAGACACACTCTTGCCCTTCTTTTTAAGCTCTCTTTTCTTTCTCCGCTTTCCACTTTCCTGCTCTTCTGACCCATCCTCTGATTCCTCACTGCTCCCAGACATCTTGGATTTGCTTTTGCCCCTTTCCCTCTCCTCTGCCTCACTGCACGGTTCATCTTCGCTACTGCTGGGCTCCTTGGTCCCTTTTCTTTTTCGCTCTGAGCTCTTACGCTCATTTCTCTCGCTTTCCGATTCTTCCCTGCTTGTGCTTTGCTTGGGAGGCTTATGCTTCCCCTGCTTTTTCTCCTCCAGTTCCTTCCTCTTCTGCGTCGTTTTTATTCCTTTGCTGGCCTGCCTCTTGAACTCCCCACCGTCTTCAGAATCGCTCTCTGAGTTATGGCTCCATTTCTCACTTGCCCTCCTAGCTGCCTTGTGCATTTCCTTCTTCGCCCAACTTTTGTCTCCGTCACTGTCTGAATCCCTCTCCAGCTCCTCTGCCCTCACACTTTCCCTGCTTCGTTTACTATTTCTCCTCATCTTGTTTTGCCTGCTGGGCTGCTCATCCTCTGAATCGCTCTCTGATTCATCCTCACTCTCACTCTCCTCTTGAGCCTTCAAACATCTTCGTCTTGGCCTGTTCTGAGCCTTTTTGCCGCCACTGCCCTTCATCTCCTCTTCACTCTCGCTTCCATCAATTCTTCCCCCCTTGCACATTTTTCGTGCCTTGGGCAGCTCCATGTCCTCTTCTGACTCTTCTTCCATTTTTCTCCTTTGCTCATCCATATTCCTGTTCTTTCCTTTGCCCACTGTCTCAGTCAGCTTCTGTTCTTTGCCAAACCCTTTCTTTTTCTGGGTCTTGTAGTTGCTCAGCTCTTGTTCAGAGTCACTCTCTGATTCGATTATTTGGCCTTTTGCTGCCTTATGTTTTCTGATCTCTTCAAGGTCACTCTGTTCCTCTTCTGTTGCCTCCTTCGACTCACTCCCTGATCGTTCTCTCTGTCTCCTGCTACCTTTCCCCCTCTGGGGTCGTTCCCTCCTTCTCTTCTTTGCACTTTGCCCTTCACTCTCAGATCCGCCAGCCTGCCCTTCTGCTCCATAATCTTGTTGGTCGGAGCAGCTAGAAGATTTCCCAGCTCCAACATGCTTAGGTATCTTCTTGGAATCAATCCCAGAATCTTTATCATCAGAACTGACTTCTGGAAGATAAAAAGTGAGCAACATGACAGATATTGAGAAGGGGCACTAATCAGTCTACCTGGCTGGAAATTTGCCTGGTCACCTGTGGCAAGTTAACAACTGTCCGCAGGCGACCAGGCATCCCCAGCGTTGTCGCAATTGCTGGTGGTGGAGCCAATAGGGCCACGTGTGCCCCCTCCATAATAGCATAGCCCTGTAACGCATAGCAACCCACTATGAGGAATATACCCTTGTCCGACTTTAATTCAAATTATTTCCCACCCTGTTTCTTTTTAACGTTTGTTCGAATTTTTTAAAAAAGCAAAGAATAAAAAATACAATTTTATTTGCCGACTCAGTAGAATTAATTTAGCAAACAGCAGAGGAGAGAAAAAGCCACACAGGAAAGCAAGTAGGAATCGTTAAGGTGACCAGAAGTAAAAAATCCATCTAATAACAAACAAAAAACAACCTGCTGAGGAAAAAACCCCTCAAAAAAGGGCAAACCAAACACACACAAATTAAGTGCATTCACAAGAAAACAACAGTTAAAGGCCCGAAGAACACCAGTGATTAAACTGGCCTGCTTCAAGCAAGGGCAGAAAAAACGAATCGCTGCTTGCAGAGGAGCTTAACAATATCCCACTGTCCTATTTTCTACTGGTGAGAGAAGAATTACAAACCTGAAATACCATAAATAAAGGAAAAATAGTAACATTACTTTTTTAAAAAGCATAAGTGTTTATTAAAAGTATTTAGGACAGGGGCCCCCAAACTAAGGCCCGCAGGCCGGATAAGGCCCGAGGGACTCATTTATCCAGCCTGTGGTGACCCCCGCCGCCCACTCTTACCGGTGCTGCGCTGCGTGGCTGCCCACTTCGGGTCGGAGGAGCACCGGAAATAGCTTGTGCGTATGCGCAAGCGTTATTTCCAGTGCACATCCGGGTTGGAGGAGGTCCGTGCACATGCGCACAAGCTATTTCCGGTGTTCCTCCGACCTGGAAGTGCGCCGGAAATAGCATGTGCGCATGTTTATGGGCATGCACTCCCCCGCCCTCTGGACCGCAGCGCGATCAGTGCTGGAGACACCGGCCCGAGGTGCGGTAAGTTTGCTGACCCCTGGTTTAGAGACTCAGTATTTATGATTTATTCATTTCATAAAATTTATACACTCCTTGATTGTAAAAAACAAACCTCAAAGCAGTCTACAAAAAGATAAAATAAAGTAGGTTCACAGTCCTACTTTAAAACATACAAGAGTTCAAATACTAAAACAGATCAAGAGTACCTCAGCTTTCCAAGCATTTGGGTAAGCTTGTCAAAAAAAAGAAAAGCGTACAGTGAAGATGTCGGCCTGATCTCAAGAGGCAGGGAGTTCCAAAGTGCAGGTGCTGCCCCACTAAACAATCGACTTCGCACCAATGCAGAGTGGGTATGACATGGCACCGTAGTAGTGCCAAGGTGAGTTCCAGGCAAATATTGCAGAGATGTTCCACCACCTCAGACCACCATCATCTACACTCAGAAGATGTGGTGCTTCCCTTATGGCCTCCTCCTCCCCCGAGGCCTGTTTTTAGGCTCAAGCCAGGACAGGGATCTACCCATGGAGGAGAAAGCTGACAGTGGCGGAGGTAATGTGTGTTCAGAAAACACGAACGAATGTTCCCCCTTACATGAAAAACTCTCTGCATTTTGATAATTAAGAGATGTGCCAGTGTTCCATGGGCATATAGCTTTTTCATTCTTTTATACATTTAAAAATGTGTTCTGAAAGTGGCAGAGAGCCTATAAACCACGTGTTTTCTGTTGAAAGCCCTTTCTCTTTACACATAAAAATGCAGCTGACACAGATCTCCATTAAGGTAATTCTCAACATAACTAACAGAATCCTTCCAGCTCTACAATTCTATGATGCAGGAATCTGGCTGAAGCTAAGCAAGCCATCAGTGATGGATGGAAGGGCCTCAGTGTGGGATAAAAGACAAAACAAAGTGGATTTTTAAAACAAGAGAAGCTGATTTCAATTATGTGCTGCTATTATCTGGACTGCATGTCCTTCAGAGGAAGGTCCCAGCAATTTCCTGCCAGAAAGGTCATCCAAGCAAACTGAAAGCAGTGCATACTGGACAGGCAAGAAGCAGCACTTCCTCACGGACTGTGCAATTGGTTTAAACAATCACAGAACCATAGCTGTCAACTTTAAGATTTGAAAATAAGGGATCAGCAGCCTCAAAAATAAGGGATCAGCAGCCTCACCTGTCCCGGGGACAGTCTACGGGATATCTAACAATCTGGGATAGAAGCAGGAAACTGTGCTGGAATAAGGGAATTTCCCACAAAAAAAGGGAAGGCTGACCACTATGCACAGAACTCTCTCTCACACACACTCATGCTCCAAGAGTCTCAGATACTCCCCTGCAGCTGCAAATCACAAGGAAAGGATAGTAAACAGGTGGGAAAAGTCATCTTTCCCAAAAAACTGTCAACCTGCCATTTACAAATAATTGTGAAAACCAACCTTAAGAAAGACCCTTCCACAAGCGAGAGACCAAGACTATGCCAGGGAGCATTTGCATACAGGACAGCATTTTGCAACCTTGTCACGTACCTGGTATGCTTCCAGTTCGCTGCTTCTTGAGCTCTTGGATTTCTAACTCCTCGCCAGGGGTATCAGAGTTGCAGCGAGGTCGCTTCTGGATCATGGAGTTGATGTGAGTCTTGAATTTTGCCATGAACTCTACGGCATTCACGGAAGCCTCCTCCTGTAGATGACATCAAAATGAAAAGTTTCCAGCTTTAACTATTTGGACCCCTTTCACTGCCCCCGGTGGCACAGCACACCTTTCCTCTCTTCCAGCTGGCTCTCCCAGCGAAAGTGCTGCCCTGCCCTGCCCTTTGCCCGCTAACATTGCCCGCACCTCCATCCGGTTCAACTCTACTTCCACCAGCTGCCTGAGTTGCTCCTTTTGCTCTTCAGCCATACTCTCCCGCCCGGCATGGAGGAGATATTTCTTCCGGATTATAGCATTCGTGAGGGTGCTGCAAGAAACAGCAATAATGGTGAGGAATGAGGCTTTTGTTGAATAGCCACACATTCACTGTTAATTTCATTTCCAGTTCAAGTTTCATCTCCAGTTCCAATGCATATAAAAACAATACAATAATAAAATATCAACAGCCACCAAGTCACAAGGAACCAGCAAGACAAGCATGCCCATCTCCAGCACCAATGAATGGATTAACCGAAATCTGGGGCAAATAAACACATTTTTATTTGGCACCAAAAGCCCAACAGCGTCAGCACCTGTTAAATCTGAGAAAGGAGGGCATTCCGTTATTGATCTGCCAGTCCTGAGGGCACCCTCTTGTGTGTTGCCACATAGCAAGTGCTTGATAAATACAACATACGGGCAGGCTTAAATGGGAGCAGGCAATGCACAGAGTGTGTAGGTCCTAAGCCGTGTAGGGTTTTACATGTCCACAACCTCCCGATGGGAGACAGATGCACCATGTACTTAAAAGTACTTGAGCAAAATGGTCACAGCTGGTGCCTGTGGGCTCCCTCATCCTAGACATTGGGCTTGTTACCTGAGAACTGGCCTATGTGTGTAAAAGGTAAAGGACCCCTGGACGGTTAAGTCCAATCAAAGGCGACTATTGAATTGCGGCACTCATCTTGCTTTTCAGGCTGAGGGACCTAGTGTTTGCCCACAGAACACTGTGACAGGAGCCAGAGTGCAAGGAAACGCCGCTTACCTTCCCGTCGCAGCAGTACCTATTTATCTACTTGCACTGGCGTGCTTTTGAACTGCTAGGTTGGCAGGAGCTGGGACACAGCAAAGGGGGCTTACCCTGTCGCAGGGATTCGAACCACCAACCTCCTGATTGGCAAGCTCAAGAGGCTCAGTGGTTTAGACCACAGCGCCACCCTATGTGTGTACTCGCCCCCCCCAACTTTAAGATGTCAAAACAAGAAATGTTCAAAATACACAGGGTGGATGCACATACATAGGTATATAAACCATACTCTGAAAAGATGTAGTGAGCAATTCTGAAGCCATTTTGAGTCTCTTAAATGACTTCAACTATTTCTCTGCAGTAGCAGGAAGGAGATGAGGGAGAATACCTCCCCCAAAATAGTTCACCTGTAAATCCTGCTAATAGATAAAATTGCTTGGCATGTAGGGGGCTTACCCCTCCCTGGAAAACTGGTCTGGCATGTATCTGTGAAGATGTCAATAGAGCATCTGTGTATCAATAGGTGTAAGTTTGTAAAAGAGATTCAGGATCCATCGTCCTTACCAGGTCAGAGGGATATCCTGGACCCCCCACCCACCCACCCACCCCCGGCCAGCGACTGACCACGACCTTCTCCTCCAAGGGAGGCCAGGTCTTCATGGCAAAAGGTGCCGGCAGGTGTGCGCTCAGCGGTTCAATCTTTCCTCACGTCACACCCATTCCCGAGGAAGCGCCTTTCCCCCACCGCGAAAGCGGCCGGCTGTGCGGTTTATTTCAGCGGCGAGGCAAACGCACTCTGCAGATGCTCAGAGGCACCCCAGTCTTCCTTAGTCCCGAGCGCGGAAAGCAGGGCCAAAGGCCGCCGGCCCCGGGTTCAGCCTTGCAGGCGCCCCCTCAGCCGGAAGCCTTGAGCGGCTCCGGACTCTCACCTGAGGTCGGGCTTTTCCTGGAAAAGAGCCCTGACGAAGGCTTCCATCCTCTGCAGCTCTGCGGGATCCGCTGCCATCCTTTCCCGCCAGCGAAGTCCTCCGAGCTGAAGCGGTCCTTCTCCCCGCAAGGCCTACTGGGAAGTGTAGTCCCGAGTAACAGCGACCGCAGCACCAGCAACCGGAGGAACCTCTAACGGAGGCGGGTGGAGAAACAGGGGAGCGACGCAGGGCGCGGGAGGCGTGGTTCGCGAGGGTTAGCAAATAAGCCAATGGGAGCGGATTCGACGGCGTCGCCGGGCCTGACGGGAAACGTAGTCCTAGCAACGCGTACGTGCCCATAGCAACGGGGCTGTAGCGGGTACTTCCGGGTGCGACAAGCCAACGCGCGTCCAATGGGGAAATTTATATTACGCAGCGCTGCCCTTTGTTTAATTCCCTGAGTTTGGGCCCCTCAAAAGCTTCCATGACGTGTCTGAATAATAGGGACTCCAGATAATAATAAAAAATAATAATTGGGGGTTGGTTGTTGTGGAAAGCACCTCCCCGCCGCGAGGCATGCCGGGAGTCGTAGTCCTGCTCCTCCTGCCCATCCGCTTTGCTGAGGCTTCTTCCCGGAGCACACCGGGAAATGTAGTTCTTCCACTGTAACCTTTCCCCCCCCCGCCCCCTCCGCGCTCTCTCTCTTCCCAGTCTCAGTTCCTGCCTCCAGTTGCTCCCCCAGGTGGGCATGAACGGGGCGGGAGAGCCTGATCCTGGCAGCGGGGGCTACAAAAGGCGCTACAGGGCCTTGAAGAGGAGGCTGAAGTTCCTGATCTATGTGAGGAGCTTGGGGGGGGGCGGTGGGGAGGGGGGAGGCACTGGAGGGAAGGACTTCTGGGGGAGCAGGTCATGTTATTTTTGAAGGAGGGGGCAATATTTACGTTTGCAGGCGGAGCGAGTTAAGGATAAGTGAGAAACGGGGTGTGGGAGCCGAGGGTGGGCAGGTTATGCTGTGTCAACATGTTTCCGATTCCATGTGTCCAAAACATTGTGGGCATCCTGGTCTCGTGGGGGGGAAAGAGCACGTGGGGCGCCCCGGGTTAAGATCTGTTGAATCAACCCGCGCTTTTGTTTTTATAGGGAGATCCGAGTAGATCTTAAAACCTTTATTGGACCCAGACTAGATAGCCTGCTCACTTGTAAGAGAGCTGAGAGCGGGGTTGGTTTCAGTGGGGTTTGTTCCCTAAAAAAACATGCCTAGGTTCTTTCGAAGCCTAGTGTGACGTGGAGGGGTGTGTGCTAGGTTTGGGGGGCTTTTCTGGGGATTTGGGGAGCAGGGAACTGGAGAAGAACTGGAGAAGCTGCTTCGGTTTGGCATTCCTGTTTCAAATCTTATCTTTACCATGAGCTCTGTGATAGGCAGCTGTAGGTTAAGAGTGAGCAATATGTGGGAGCTTATAGTGTTAACCTACTTTGCAGGGTTATTGCCTGAGCATTAAAAAAAAGATAAATGTGTGAGAAGAGCTTTCTTATATCCATTTAATATCCTGCTCTTCAGTCTGGAGAGCAGCTCACCACAGTTAAAACATTTACAATACAGTACATTCAATGAATAATAATAATAATTTATTATTTATACCCCGCCCATCTGAGTTTCCCCAGCTACTCTGGGGGCAGTGTTAAAAACAGTACAGCATTAAACAATACAGCCTAGGACCCTCATACCTACGGGACTGCCTCTCCTGGTATGCCCCGCAGAGGACCTTAAGGTCCATAAATAGCATAACTCTAGAGGTCCTGGGTCCTAAGGAAGTCAGATTAGCTTCAACCAGGCCTCCAGCCTGGTGGAACGCTCTGTCTCATGAGACCAGGGCCCTGCGGGATTTGATTTCTTTCAGCAGGGCCTCTATGAAACGAAGGAATATAAGACTAGTGTGAAACGTGATGATTTTGGGAGCAGAGCTGACCCTTTGGTAGAAATCCAAAAAGCACCCCTTCCCTCTGGTATATAAATATTATTTGATTAAGTGATTTGATAGTTTGTTTTTTTAAAAAAATATGTTTATTGCTAATTTAGTTTATTGCTAATTAAGAAAAAAAAACAAAAGGAAAGAAAAACAAAAACACTGTCAGTTCACATTAATGACTGTCAATACATTTTAGTTTAGACATATAGCTCAATATATGCTGTCCAAAAAGATTCAAGCGAAGTGAGATTTGCATTTCTAAAAATTTTGTTCAAATGTAGGAAGAGTTTTAGGGTCTTTGGACCATGTCTGTCAACTTTTCCCTTTTCTTGTGAGCAATCCTATTCGGAATAAGGGAATTTCCCTTTAAAAAAGGGAAATGTAGACAGCTATACTTTGGACCATTCCATAATAGATGGTGGGTATTTATCCTTTCAGGTTCAAAATATGTTTCTTAGTTATCACAAGAGCTTGCAAAAATCACGCTTCGTTGTCCTGCAATTAATTCCAGAATGGCTGACTAACGGGTTGGCATTCTTTTCTTTTTTCGATAACATTTTATTAATTTTCCAAAAACAGCCAAAATAAAAAAACAATAATAATATTCACATTCACAAATTTACATCATAATCTTAATAGACTTCCCTCCACTTCCCCTCCCGGTTCCATTATTTTACTCTTATTCAAGCACGTCCTTAAAATCTTATATTCTTAACAATTCAATTTTTAAACCTTATTCATCTTATTACAAGTGACTTTTAAAAGTTCAACTAATGTAAAAGCCTATCCACAAAGCTTACAAGGGAACATTTAAACATTTCCCTTATTTAAACGAGAAAACCAATGTCCTTTGGGTTTCAAGTTGTCTAATATGTCCTATAGTCCATTAATTTATTTTACCAATCTTCTTTGGCCGTGGCTTCAAAGTATTTTGCCTAGTAAATCCATTAAGTCCTGTACCTTTCAGAATCATAGCTTCTATTTTTTTAAACAAAGGTCATTTTCAACATTCTCTTCAGATCTTTATATGTTACCTCCCAGGCCTTCTTAATAACTTTACATTGCCACCACATATTGTAGCCTCTCATACCTTTTCCCCTTCCTTTCTGTTTTGTCTCCATCAAAGTAAAATCTTCCCAGATCAATTCACATGAGGTGCCATTTTTACTGTGCCATTTTCACCTTTACTTTCCCTTTTCCTGGAGCCTACCACCTCAACCTTTCCCAACTCAGTGGTTTGTATGTTCACCTCTTTAAGTTGTCCCACAGCCTCTGAAAGTAAATTAGTATTTTCCCGGATTTGAGAAGCTGTTTTATCAACGTTTTCCTTTATCTCACACAATTCTCTTTTAAATTCTGAACGCAAATCATAAAATTCATATTTTGAAGTATATTCTTTTGACTTACGACCTTGCTGGTTTGTTTCAACTTTGGAATTTTTTCTTCTACCATTTCTAATTTCATGTGGAGGGGGGGGGTGGAATCTCTCCCCTTTCCCCAGCTTCCTCTCTAACATTAAATTCCAAAACAAAAACTTTAACAAATTATATTTTCCCACCTTTACATCCATTCACAACAAAATAATTTTTGTTCAATATGAGTAAAACTGTAATATTAATATTGTTTTAAAGTCTCATTCTGACTTGCATGGTCTCTCTTGTTATTTCTCAGGAACAAGAATGTTTCCAGGAAGAACTGAGAAAAGCGCAAAGGAAACTCTTAAAAGTTTCACGGGATAAAAGGTGAGCTGATGCGATAGAGAAAGGGCAGAGGGGGTGCAGAATGGGGAGATGATGGGGGAGGTTGTGGCGCTGACACTGAGAGATGCTTGTGGGCCTGGTGCGGGAGAAATGAAATCTTTTAGTGATGAAGGGTGGGATATCAATTCTACAACCAAATAAATAATAGATAGGGTTGCCAGCTTTTTTTGGCAGGGTTCCTGGGTCCTTAAAGCTATGTGACAGGGGAAAATCAACAAATCTCATGATAGGGAAAACTGCACCTGTTAGGTTTCTGCCTGAAAAGCTGCTAATAATGTTGCATGCCTTGCCTTGAAAAGGTGACTGTTCCATAAATGGTGGGGAGGGAGCAGGAACAGGATATCTGAGTTGGCAGCAGGACTTGGTTTATGTCAAAGGTGTCTAGCATTGAGATCCAGACTTTGTTTTCAGTACCAGAGCAGTATTTGAGACTTTGAGCCCTAAAAATAGAGAAAAGTGCCTCAGTGTACGTGCAGAGTGCCTTTCTTCTGCTACTGAATTTTCTGGCGCAATCTCTGTGCACTTGGGTTTGAAGAGCAGGGCTTCTGAGGCAGGTGGCAGAGTGCTGGCCTCAGACATTCTCCGCTTAGAAATTAAGTGTTGCATTTGAGATTGTGACTTCATCTCCTCCTGATCGTTTCCCGTTTCCAGTTTTCTGCTTGATCGCCTGCTCCAGTATGAGAACGTGGATGAAGAATCATCAGGTAATTCAAGGCTCACGACTCTCTTCTGGTTGTGTGCTTTGGGGAGGGTAGCCCACCCACACTGTCCTGGACATGTGCAAAGAAGTGGAAGAAAATGAAATGTTTCCACAGCAGCAGTAACAGCAAAGCAGTGTCATGATTATGTCATGGTAGTGTACAATTCAATAAATGTGGTGGTAGAAAGACTGGTAGCTAAAAGTCATTTGAAAGGGCATTATAGCTTAATCCTAAATGTCTGCAGTTTGAGGCCCAAAATGTGGAGGATCTGGGGCAAGAGCTCTTGCGCTTGGAGTTGGTCACATGAATCAGTGCAGTGAAGCAGCATGAGCTTAGGCTGGGAAGACACGAGTTCAAATCCGCCACTCAGCCTTGAAGATTACGGGATAATCTTGCCCAAATCAGGTCTCTCGGCCTAACCTGCCTCTCAAGGGTGTTGTATGGATAAAATTACACCCATGTATGTTAGGTACTTGAGTTCCTCAGCCGAACGTTGGTATTCAGATCTGACTGAAACTAATTTTTCATTTCAGACTCGGAGGCAACAGCCTCCTCTGACAATAGTGATGGGGAGGTCCCCAAGGGGACAGAGCCACAGTCCCTAAAGAGGTGAGTGTGTGAGCCCTGGTCTCCAAGATGAAGGGTGAGGAACAGTGTCCGCGATCATTGCCACCAACCACGGGATAATATATCCTGTGGGCTTCCCCAATGGGCAGAAACCTTCTGCTTGGCCAAGTTCAGCCAGTTTTCAAAATGTTCTCCCTTTTTAGGAAG